TTTTTTTGCCTATGTGGACACCTTAGATGGAGAGAAAACTCTCCCATTATATAATAGATTAGCCCATTATTATTCTTATTAATTCTATACACAAAAATTTTAAACGTTTATACGAAAATATCTTCCTATGACTATTATTAATTAGAATATTGATAGCCCACAACATCAATAGAAATAGAAAATGTTTTAGAAAAAACAAACTGTACTTGGTTATTACGATATAAAATTGGATCCAAAGACCAATTCAATTGTTTTTTGTTAATTGAATCGTAAATGAAAACAAAAAAAAATTGTAAATGAATTTATATTATAACAGAATTGGAATCTAAATTAGATATCATTAGCAATTTTTAAATGGAATAATATTCTTCTAATTTATTTAATTTTTAACAAATATTTAACTGCGTAAAACGCGGAAAATCACCTAATTACATTAAAAATGAAAAAAAAGAAGGGGTGACATTTGCTTCTAAGCCTACGTAGATTTGCATCCGCCCATGCTCACCGCAATGACCACCCACCACCCAATCAAAGAGATCGAACAATATAAAACAACTAATATTTGCGGACAAAGAAACAATTAATATTTAAACTTTTGAGTAGAAAAAGAATAAGTGATTAACAAAGTTTTTGTTTTGAAGTGCGACTACGCCTACGTCATGGAGGGGACTACACTACACAAAAAAAGTGTAGATAGCATCAATTAAAATGTATCAGAACACTAAATGATATTATTTAGAATTGTTTATGTACAAGTGATACAAATTTTGTAGTTTAGCATCAATTAATATAAGAAATATAATCAATTCCATTGTTTGTGTATATAGTATCAATTAAATAAAAGTGATACAAATTTATCTTAAATAGTATCACTTAAAACAAAATTCGACACAAAATAAAAAATTATATCAGTTATTTAAGTGATGTGTATATTACTTATTTGTAGCATCAGTTAAATAAAACAATGCAAATTTTGTATCACTAAAAAAGTGATGCTAACAAATATCCAATTAAATAATTAATATATATAGTTTTATTTTTACAAACTTTGTTTGTCCCACATCGGAAACTAAACATGAAAGAATAAAATTATTCCTCTATAAAATAAACTTATCATTTTAGAATTGGCCTAAATGCATTTAAGTCAAATTAAATCCTTTCGAGACATAGTTAATTTTGGTGTTCGTATTGGTTTAATTAGTAAATTATTTGGGGCTATTATCATTTAAAATTAATAATATTTTAATTAATCAAAGTCACATATGAAAATTAAAACTTTAGTATCAACTAATCACAATCG